ATCCTACGATTCCTTCTAATTATCATCCAATTGCTTTGACTAGCTGGCTTTGTAAGGTCTTGGAGAGGATGGTTAATGCATGTCTTTTTAGTTCCTTGAATCAAACAACTTCCTCTCGCATACCCAATGTGGTTTTCATAGATATCACTCCGTCCTGGACTACCTGATTCATTTTGAAACCTCTATCAGGGAAGCCTTCCTCAAGAGAGAGCATCATGTTTCTGTTTTCTTTGATCTTGAGAAGGCTTATGATACCACTTGAAGGTTTGGTATTTTGCAGGGCTGTTATTCATATGGATTGCATGGTCAATTGACCCATTTTTGTTCCCAACTTTTTACAAAACAAAACTTGGAGTCCCTCAGGACTGTGTCTTGAGTGTCACCTTTTCAGTATCAAGATCAACACTATCACTAAACAACTTCCTTCTACTGTTGCAAATGGCCTATATGTCACCAACTTTCACATTTCTTGTCGGTTGTTGAACATAAGGTTTATTGAGTGGCAGCTTCAGACTGCCCTCACTCATTGTTGAAGTGGACCACAGCAAACAGTTTTACCTTCTCCTTCTTTAATGCCATTTGCATTAATTTTTTCAACCAACAAGGTTTACACCCTGATCCTGGGCTCCATCTAGATGATGATGTTGTTCTTCCTGTGGTTCCTGGGGCAAAGTTCTTGGGGTTTATCTTTGACCGTAAGCTTACTTTCATTTCTCAAATCAAGAAGCTTTGTCTTAAGTGTACAAAGGCACTGAACATCCTCCATGTCCTCTCTTCTACCTCTTGGGTAGTGGACCACTGTTCCATGTTCAAGATCTATCATGCCCTCATATGATTCAAGATGGACTCTGGTTTATGGTTCTGCCAGGCCCTCTGCCATGAATATGTTGGACCCTGTTCATCATTTGAGGCTTCGGCTGTGCGTGGGGGCTTTCTGCATTTTACTGGTCCAGAGTTTTTACACTGTGACCCATAAACCTCCTCTTCCCCTCTGCCTCTTACAATTTTCATTACAATATGCTTCGATCCTTACCACAGCATTTTGTCTGTGGTTGTGTTTTCCTTCTTTGGTGGACTGTGCTCTTTCAGAAAAGATGGTCTGCCATTCCTCCTTTTGGCCTATGTTACCAGGCACAGCTGGCTGAATTGGGTCTGTCATTGAAAGATGTTGCCGAGTCCGATGATCGGTCCATACTGCCATGGCTCATTATCATCCACACCTGTGACCTTTTTTTGAGTCATCTGAGGAAGGTGGATACTCTTGATTGGAAGTACCATCTTCTCTTTGCCGAATATCTTTTGAACCATTTTTCTGTTCCCATTTTCATGAATGGTTTGAAATCAGGTGTTTCTGTATGCTTTGCCATGGTGTTTTGTGGCTTGGTGGTTGCTCACAGGATCCTCTCTACAATTTCTGTGTTCACTGCCAAATTATATGCCATTTCTCTTGCCCTTGATCATGTAGAAACTAAGCAGTACACTAACTCTCTTAGCTCTATTGGTCCTGGAATTGCTTAATGTTAGTTCTCACTCTGTTCTCTTAAACATTCAGAAATGTGTGATCTTTGTGACACTAAAATCACAATTGTCCACCTTTTACTTTTGTTTTGCTGTTACAAATGCCAGCAGTGGCAACATTTTAGACTTGTTTTCTACGGGTTTACCTTTGACATTGGATGGTGTTATAGGTGATGGTGACACTGCCCAGCTTGATTGTGTTTTTAAATTTTTATGAGCCATTGGCCTTTTTACATCTGTTGAAGTTCTTTACCAGCCTTTTGGACATTGTTTAGCTTTTAACTTCTTTTTACATTTTATTGTATTTTACTAACAGCTTTTTTACCAGTTGTTTGGCACTGATAGCCTAATTGCTTTGCACAAATAAACACAAAACAACAAACAAACAGCCTCACATTTTTCGATGTCCCATCCAGATTTTACTTTGATTTGATAGTTTGTTTTGTTCATGGCACTAATGATTACATCACTATTCTTCAAATACACAAAAGTTCTACCAACCATTAATCCATCAGGACATGCTAGAGTGATTTTTTCTAATTTGGCCCAGTCGCTAGATGTAAGTTTATTTTCAAGAAGCTGTGGTATGATTACTGTACTTTTCAGTAGTACAATGGTTGCTCCCCTTATTCTTATGGAAAGTTCAACCTCTGGTTGTAGTAATTACTTTGTAGTTCACATAGATTTCCTGGTCATAGACATGAAGCTATTTCAAGCTAGACTAACCTCACACTGATGTTTCTGCATGAAGTCAGTTCCCAGTATGTATTCTTCCTCAGTGTCAATTACCCATACATTTATTGTCTTGTGGTTTATTCCCTCCATTCTATGTTACTAGTTGTCTAACTAATTCTCTTCATTGTAAAATGTTGTCAGTAGAAGTTGATGTTTCAACACTAAATCTGACTATTTCATAACTTGAAGATGGTGTCTTTAGTTGTTTCGCTGCAAATTTAATGGATTCTAGTTCCATCACCAACTGCTAAGCTTCCTTTAAGTACATACATTTAATTTGCTTCAGCCTGATCCTCATATCCTCATCTATTGTAGTACCTATAAGTTGGTCACATGCCAACATACCCATCATTTCACAAGGAATGTCCAAGTAAGATAATTGGGCAAGCTTTTCCATGTCTTCTGCAAGTTTGGTTAAAGTCTTTTCTTTCTTCCATACTCTTTTCCAGAACTCTGCTCTAAGCATTAGTTAGTCACCTTATCCAACAGGTTCAGAGTGTTGCATGAAAAGGAAGTATGCGGATAGTTGTTATGTCTGTCTGTTATGTCTGTTACTTAATGTTTTCAAAGTTAATCCTTTTAAATGGGCAGCAAGATGGATGGCTTGTTGTTCACTATTCCACCTGTTTGTTATGGAAATGAATTTGAACTGGTCTTGGTATAGTACCTTCCCATCATGTGCTGTTGGTTTCTCAATTAGTTGAATTGGGCACTAAAATTTGGAAATGGAATTATTAGTTTAGTGTCATGGCTGTAGTAGTCCAGGAAGATTCTCCCATAACAGTTGACACAGCATTAGTGGTAATAGATGTAGACTAAGTTTTTATTCTATATTTTGTAGCAGATGGCATTTCAGCCTGGAACTCCTGAGCCAATACAGAAAGAGATGTGGTTTAATAATTCATTGTCCAGATGTTTTATTCTATCATTGATGTTCTTTTCTATCTCTTTTCTTTCTTTCACTTTTGACTTAAATAATTTCCTCACTACAGCCTTGATGTATTTCTTCAGTTTTGTCTTTACAACCTCTCAACAAACTTATTTCAATCCCTCTGTATATCCACTATAGGTTTGTAATGGTCTAAAATGGACATGGGTTTACAAAGTCAGTCAATTTGACTGAGCCTGTAGCATGAGGGTTAACTAGTGAAACTTTCTTTTAACTCCTCATTTAAATTCCTGTCCCATTTTTCTAATTTTTTTTTGTCCTGTCCTTTCTTTATTTTTCCATCTCTTTCTTTATGGACCTCTCCTAATTTTCTGTAACTTTCTTCTAGTTTTCTGTTAATTTCCTTTCTTTTTCTTTTTTGTCTTGTTCATCCTGGTATTGTTTTAGTAATTTCATCATTTCAAGTAATACTTTGCTTTCACTCTTTGACCTAGTGGTTTTCATCTTGAGCAGTTAAAGTTCTATCTCAAATATATTCAATGTTGTATTTTATTTCCTCCACAAGATCCTCTGATACCATTGTTGCATTGTTCTTTTTTTGGCATGTTCTTCTAAATTAACTGGTAAAAATAATTCAAAGTCCAGTCCAAGTAAACTGTAACAAATTAGTTTATTTCTTCCTTTCATGTTTGTATAAGTTTCAACACTTGTGCAAAGTTACTTGAAAAGTGCCACAGCAAACACAGGTCTAAATATTTCACTAAAAGACACTAACAGATTCAACTATGTTTTGAAAGTAAAACTCTCCATACTTCACAACTGTCTTGTATTCATAATCTAGTTTTGGATGTACCAGAAAACTTTGTAGTTGCTCTAGGTGTTTCTTATTAAAAACCCCATTTGATCTAAATGTCATCATTAAAACCCTACAGTTTCTTATAGCTAATATTTAAATTACAACATGACAAATATAAGTCTTAACAGTATAAAATGAGCAAGCAAAATAACAGAAATTATATTTATCATAATATTTCAGTTAACAGAAAAAATTCACACATTTTTTTTTTGCTGTTACAAAAAATTGGTAGACCTGAACTGTAGATAAATAAAGTTTATTTTTTTCAATTTCATAATGCATGAGCTAATGGCCAACATAAAATTCATTTTGACAATGTTAAAGATTGTGTGTATGGTGAACAAAATACAAGTGTTTTCTGATGACTGGTATTCTCACAAAATTACACAAATCAAAGTTTCTAATATTTTGTGATTTTATATTATGCCAAACATTCATTTGTAATTTCTTGCTTCAGTGGTACTTCATTAACTCAAAATATTTAAAAATATTTCTTGCCATTCTTTTGAATTAGATGTATTGAAGTGAGAAAAGATATTAAAATTATCCTTAATGGGCTGTAGTTGTTAAAAAAATTGTATTCTAAAAAGCCTGACTTGGCTTGGTGGTTAGGGTGCTTGACTCACAAAATATGGATTGCATGATTGATTCAGTGCTGAACAGGCTTATCCTTTCAGCTGTGTGGGTGTTATAAGGTAATGATTAATCTCTCAATTCTTTGATAAAGAGTAACCCAAGAGCTGCTGGCAGTTGCCTTCCCTGTGGTCAACAGTTCAAAATTAGTTGTAGCGGCAAATATCCTTAGTAACTTTGCCATAAACAAACTTATTTAAGGATTATATGGATGTCAGTGTTTAAAGTTTTAATAATTATATTGTTTATTATGTGAATTTTTTAAAATGTGTTTAATCGGGGAAGCACATTAATACATCATAGAACTTGGCATTTTCAGTTATAGTAGTTTTACAATTCTTCAACTGTTTACTGGTTTCTTTGTTTCAGCTGGCATCCAGAAGCTAACAACTCTGTTATGGTGAATGGGATTGTGAATATAGTAAATGGAAGGGATAATAACAGTAACCTAGTGTTACATACCAACAGATCTGCAAGTGTGGATGAGCCACAGGTGGACAGTTTTACTACTGGTACTGTACTTTCCCCAGTATCAGTAGGCTTAGGAACAGTGAGCAGTACAAAACGAGGTGAAGATCGATTAGCAGGACCTCTGAATAAAGAAAAGAGTGACACCTCTGAACCTCTTGACTCTACAGAAAAACATGTTGATAGCAGCATGGATATTTCTGCAGATAAAACAGAGGTTTCCTGTACTGAACCTACATCATCACCATTGAGAAACAGTAGTGACACAATAACAGAGCATTCTGCTGGTAAGTTTTTAATAACTGATGGTGTTATGATGTTAATAAAAAAAATATTTGCAGTTAAATCAGTTTTATTAACCTGTGGTTTGTCTGTCAACAGTAATCTTTTAATACACTGATTGTTTTCATCATTGGCCTTAGTTAAGATCTTGAGGTGCATTAACCCTATGTGCATGGGGTTGGCCTGTTGGACCAATCCCATATAGGAGAATTAACATTTATAATAATTTCAAATTTACTCAGTGTATCTTCACAAAATTTGGTAAGCTTTTAGTAAACGTTACAAATATGTTGTACACAAAATATCAGAATTTTTAATAAAGTATTTCTATGAAAGATTTGTCTCTGAATTTACTTTAGTCAGACTCTGACTAAATTTGTAGATTAAACACTAGTCTGAGTGCAAGTTGATTTCCAAGTTATGAATAAAAATAAATTGTTTTATCTTAGTTTCCAGACTTCATTTATATAACCTTTAGAACCTTCTAAGTTAATATCAGAAGTTTTTCAGTAAATTTTCATACCTTATCTTGTATTTCTCTACACTTTATGGGTTCAGTCCATTTGACTAACTTTGTAAACATCATAAAAAAATGAAATAAATCTAAGTTAATCCTTCTTTCTTTCTTAAATAATGGCTGACAATTATAGTTAGTTATCCTAAAATCTTCAGTTCTTTATCCTTTTCACAACTGTTTTCATTTAATTTTATTGTTTTATTGCTCTTTTAATTGTCCAACTACTAAACTTGTGTAAAGAAAACAACTACATTACGCAGTGAGTTCTTGCCTGAAGCTCTCTAAATGATTTATATTCACAAACAGCTTGTGTGCAGACCTCACTAAGAAATTTTTCATTTAACTTTTTCCTTTATATTTTCTTATCTAACCTTTGTAATTTTTACTTTTATAATAATGAATAAAGAGCATACATAAAGAACAAGAAATTTAGTATTTATGTTTATCATCTTGCTGTCAGTCTTAATGAAACTTAGCCCTCATTTTTCTAACCATGGTAGTAGTACATAAAATAATTTTTGTTTATTTCAAATATGCAATTTAAAACAAAATAATAACATGCACAAAGAACACAATGTCCTCTAAGTATTGTAATTTATATGGCTTTCTAAGTAAGGTATAAGTACCTTAAAATAATTCACTGACCTGGATGATGTGAACTTGATGATAGGAGCAATAAAACTGTAGGCCAAATAATTCAAATACTGTCATCACAATGAATCCAAGAACAACTGTCAGAGAAAATTACTGAAAGAAAGGATGTGATAGAGAGCATAGGAAGTGGGTTTGTCTTTTTGTTTTATATCTCCATAAACAAAGAAGATTGGAGGCTATAAAATTACACTGTGCCTTAATAATATTTATAATATAAATGTATACTTTATGTTAAACTCAGGACATCATACAGGGGTGGTGAGAAAATCAAAATTGTACAGTTTTAAAAATGTAGTCAGAATTTCCCATCACCTCTAGATTTTGAGTTATTGTAATATCTCAGAATTTTATCAGTGCTGTGTAAAATACCATGTAATCAACTCAGTAAAGTAGGTTTATGCTGTGGAATTAAGTTTGCTTGAACAGTTTAATGAGTAAAAGGCATACATTTGTGATAATTTCAAACACTGAGTGTATTATATTGGTGTAAAATTCCACATACGTTTGTGATAACTTCAAACATTGAGTGTATTATATTGGTGTAAAATTCCGAATATATTGTTCATATATACTATTTATTCTCGATATAATTGTTGTAAATTGCAGCATTTTTTTCTCATTCCCACACTCACCTGCTCTGCCCAGGAATCACAAAACCCTTGCATGCTCAGTTTGTTAGAACATTCAAGAACTTCCTTGACTGAGCTTAAAAGGAGCAGGTCAGATGCCTCTCACTCACTCAGTTGAGCTGATTTTAGCAAAATAAATTTGTTTTGTTTGTACTTCAAGTTTATATAGCCTTGGGCCAGTGTGTCCTGGTGATATGGGAACGAGGGGTGCACTGTGATTTGAGGGTCTTAGGTGTGATTTTCATTGTCACCAAACTTGTTTGTCTTGTTTTTGTTATGGCAAAGCTACTAAGGCTATGTGCTACTGTCACTAATTTTGAATTGATTTTTTTGAAGTATTCAGAAATCAACACATCTTGAGTCTACAGAAATCCAGTCAAGACCTCGGCCAATAATTGATTATGTCTAATCTAACACAACAATATGAAAGTCAATTAAATGTTGTCATTGGTAACTTTTTGCACCCTGGCTTTTTCTAGACACTCTAATAATATGTCTTGTCTGTAGAGAATTATTTTCCTCAAAGTTTTTATTTTTTTTAGAAGTTATAATTTTCATGAGAAAGATGTTTTTAATATTGTTGATGTCTAAAATAAGTAAAAATGCAAGTGGCATGACTGTATAAGTAATGATTTTTTGAAAACTATTTGTAGATAGGCATACTGTTTACATTTACAAACATACACTATAATTGTTTTGTAATTATGATTATAACTATTTAATTTTGATTAAAAGTTTGAAGCGTTTGTTTTTAATTGTTTTTATTTTCATATTAATCACATTACTAGAAATCAAGATATAAACTGTAAAATTGCTGTATTATAACATGACTGAGCTAATCATTTACAGAATATATTAACGTTATTTTAACTTTGTTTAGGATACATTTTAGTTGATATTGATCCAAACTACTATATCATTATAATGAAAATCTTTTATGTAAAAAATGCTGAAAAGTTGGTTATAGTATTATACAGTTAACTTTCAAAAATAGTACCTTAAGCCTGAAGACAGTTTCCTATTTCTATAAATTTTTTGAGACACAAATTTTAGTAAATTTGACATGTTAATTCTAACTATATTTCAACAATTTGAACTTGTAAATAAGTTTAATATTTTCTGATATTTACTTAGTGTAGAAGAAAAATGAAATGTTACTGCAGCTAGTTAAACATAGTATTATTGTGTTATCATTAAACAACAATCTTATCTGAATATACTTTCTAGATTTATTGTTATTCATTTGATAACCAGGTGGTTAGGGTGCTTGAATTGCAATCTGCAGGTTGTGGGTTTCAATCCCTATTCCACCAAACATGTTTGCCGTTTCAGCCATGGAGGTGTTCAAATATGATGATCAATCCCACTATATGTTTGTAAAAGAGTAGCCCAAAAGCTGGCAGTGGGTTGTAATGACTAGCTTCCTTCCCTCTAGTCTTTCGCTGCTAAATTAGGAATGGCTAATGCAGATGCCCCTTGTGTAGTTTGCACAATATTCAAAACAACAGAAAGTTAAATCTATCAAAAGTTTTATTTTACAAAATAAATTGATGGTATTCCTATTTATATATTTTTTACATTGTTTGACTTTAAATTTAGGCTACTTGAAGAATATCCAAAAATACTAGGTCTTCTTTTGCTAAGTACACATTTTCCTAACAACTAAAATAAGGTAGGATTAGTTTTCCCTTTATTGATTATAAAGCCTTTGAGTAACTATAGAGCCTCCAACATTGTTGTAAACACACTTATGAATGTGAAAAACAATGCTAAATTGTCTGGAATTACATGTCTGAAAAGTGTACAATGTATTGTTGCAACAGGTGACTGGTAAATGAATACATCTTCTATACTAGAATTAGTATTTTATTTTCTGATATTTACTTAAGTGTAATTCATGATGAAAAATTGAAAAAAAGTTCATATTTTCATTTTGCACAACCATAAAGCCTGTAAACAATGCATTTGTCTTTTACTCTAAAATTTTTCTGCCTATCCCAGAGAATAACTATTTTTGCTAAGAAGCTATCACCCCTTGAGAATATATTATCCATTTCTTGAATTTCAAGCTTTTCCCTTAGTTTTGGTATATGTCTTGGTTGAAACCTTGTAATGGTACCACATGGAGTGGTTTGATCATTTATTAATGAAACTCAATATTGAAACAGCTATAAAGGAAATAAATATGATTGGATAGAGCAAGATTAGACAGTTGTATCTAATGAAACAAAGTAAATGTATAGGTTTAAGAGTTTTGTAAATGTTTTGTTTGTGAATTGTGAATGTATTTCTGTCTTAAATTAAATTTGTTTGAAAGCTGCAGAAGTTTTCTTCAATGAGAAGGCATCAAATAACTTGAATTAAGATAAGCTTATATAATTTTAGATGTGTGGAATGGGTAACAAAGAAAACTACTACAAGTTTAATAAGTTTTTACTTTTTAATAGATATATTGTGTTTTTTCTTTAATTGCAGTGTTTTAGGATACAAGTTTATTATTATACTTACCAAATAAAATCATCATCAAACCAGTTAAGCTTAGTTAAGTTTACTGTTTAGTGAGTATTGTAGGAAATGTAAAATATTTTGATGACACAATCTTCATTTAATATTCTCTTTATGTTTATCCTATTCAAATAACACACATAAATAACTTGGCTAACTGGTTACTTACTTATTTCTAATTGCAATTGTGGTATATTTTAAATGAAACATTATTATTCTATTGGTGATAGCAAAATATTTTTCCATTATTTTATCATCAATGAGTGAGAGATTACTGCATGTTTTAAAATCAAATATAATGGTGACTGAGTTTGACATTAGTGATTCATTCGTCAAATTGGAAATTTTCAGGTTATTTTTTTTCAAGAATTTATGTAAAAATGCTGAAATTATAACTTTTAGGAAATGTCTGTCATATGAAAATTTACTTGAAAAAAACTAGGTGAAAATAGGAAGATTACCATGTTAAAACATGTTAGCTCTATAGAACAATATGTTAACACAGTTCCAAGTGTACTTATGTACAGAACAGTCTGGTAATACTGATAATAAAGGATGATAAGAATAGTAAGCTCTAATAATATATTAATAGTAGGTACAATCATTTCTGATCAAACATGCCTTTATCCATTTCAGAAATAATAATGAATAATGTTAGTAAATAATGCAACACAAGTTCAGTAGTGCAACTTGCACAGAAAAAATCAAATATCACTATCTGTTATAGTGTGGCCTTTTATTATCTAATAACTCCAGTTGTCTATCCAGTGGATGAAACGTTGTAAATTTAATTAGTCATTAACATTTTGTATTAAATGAGAGCCTTTCAACAAGGGGGGATAATTTATATAAAAATTAGAATTTCTTATGTAATTCAAAATGGTCACTATGAACTGTTCATTATAGTAAATAATTAAAAAACAGCATTTACTATTTACACAATTAAAACTTTATTGAAGTCATACTGCTTCCACTTTAAAACAACACTGTACAAGTACTAGTTTTGATGTGATCTATATCATCTTCAGGAGTTACTTACAAGACACTTACAATCCATGCATTATACTTTTACCCCTTTTTGCTTTGCTTCACTATTATTTATATATTTCCTTGGTCTACTTTATTATTATTATTTTTATTTTTTTCTAGTTATTATAATATATCTCGTGATATATCAACATATTGACTTGCTGGTCCTTCGTCTCTATGTAATACTTATTTTTTCTACACTTTATTATTTCTGACGTTTCTCTAATATTTAATGCTATAATACTACGAGGTTGAGCCAAAATGAAAGTTTTTTTCCCACAATATGGTACGTTGTTAGTTTTTACATGTTTGACTATAGCTGAGGTTTATATTTTATTATTTCTTATATAACCTTTATGTTCTTGCAATCTGTAGTTTAAACTTCTTTTAGTTTGATCAATATAAATACCACCACATTCACAGTCCATCTTGTAAATAACTGTTTTGTCTGTTAATTCTATTTTATCTTTAGTATTCCCTATCATGTCTTGTATCTTATTTATTGGTTTGAAGATAGGATAAAAATTCTGATTCTTTTTAAATACTATATATAATTGACTTGTTAAACCTGGAACATAAGGTAAACTTAAAGTTTCTGTTTTGTTTTTATCATAAATAGATCTTAATTTAGTATTTTTAACTGTGTTTACACCTTTGTTAAATTTCTTAAGTGCTTTGTCTACTATATTTGGTTGAAATTCTCAATCAATAGCTACATACTTAATTAATAACAATTCGTTATTTATATCTTCCTGTCTTGGAACATTTTTAAAGCTCTATATATATTACACAAGCGCCGTTAATTCGTATAATATATTCTCTTCCTAGCTTAAATATTTAAAAAAGTGTTTGACAAATACAAGCAGGACAACTGGAATATATATATATATATATATACATAAACATCTACACATTAACAGCTTGGAGGATGATATGGGACATAGAGGAAGCAGTCAACTAAAATATTATTTTTAATCAACTTTTTATAATTTAAAATACTTTTATTTTATCAGAAATATTAACCTTACTTCTTCATTTGGAGCCCACATTTGTTTATTCAAATATTATGAACCACACTTTCTACTAGTTGCATACTTAAAGCTTCAAGCCACATATTCATTGCATTTAAGCTTGTGACAACCCTAAAATAAGGCTCATTTCAATCTTGAAATTTCAGTTACTTCCACAGCCTTAGTTGTGATAGTATATGTGATTGTTCAGGTATAAACATTTACTTATTATGATAATTTTAGTGAATATCTCTGCAGTTAACCTTACATTTTGTAATTAGATTGTTCTGTATCTAAAGCATACTTACCATGGTGTTAACTGATTGTTCCATATGTAAAACATACTTATTATACTGTTAGCATTAACAGATTAACTAACTTTACTTTCACCACCTTTGTGTTAGTTTGTTAATATTTGATTGTCCATTTCACAAATTTAGACTTCTTAGACATTTCCAACGTAGTTATAAGTTGTTTTAATGTGTCTTTAGGTATACAAATAACAAAAACATTTGGTAATTTCAAAGACAATTTTCATAATTTTTGTTAAATTCCTTAATATGTAGTTTCATTTCTTTCTTTTTTTTTCTTTTTTAATCACCTCTTTTTGATGCTGTTTTGTTTGAATTTAAACAGGGAAGAACCATATTATTATATTTCCTGTGATTTCACCTGAGAATGACTTGCCCTAGCAACTGTAATAAATTAAACTTTAGTTGCTGTTTAGACATTGTTTCTGTATTTTACCTCCCCTAACTCTGATATATTTACACACATATACACATCTGATTGCTAATTTTAGTTTACTGGTAATATTCATTTTGTAATTTGGCCCAAATTAATATGTAAAGAGTACTTGAAAAGCAGTTCTTTTTAAAAAAGTTTTAAATACTAAAGATGAGTGATTTTTATTGTGCATGCTATTCTGACACCAGGGAAGGCCTTATATCCAAGCCATTATTAATGTAAACTAAGGGAGTAGTTTATCTATGTAAATATCTAATTAGTTTGTCAGTTTAAAAAGAAACAACATATTGAGGGCTGTTAGTTATATTGTTTCTAAAACAGTGTCATAGAATGTTGAATTAAATAATTTCAGTTTTTGTATTGTTTTTTTCATCTTCAGATCTAGAATCTACATGCCCATTAGTTTGCTTTCCTTTATGAATTATTAATTCATCTGTTTATTTATTTCTTATTTAGGTGGAGAAGCTATTGTTTTTGAAGATTTACCTCTTGGAAATAGTGCAGATATGGTGAAGGAAAAAACTATTTCACCACCAGCTGTTGGTAAGTGTCAGAGGCTCTTAGTAGCTGATTATAAACTTTACGTTTCCTAGGTTTATTAATTTTTTTTTCATTTGTTCACTTATTTAAGTGTGTTTAAGTGATTTGACTGATATCTTGTCTTTGTATATTATTATCAAATATAAAACTAGTGTATCTTCAGTTTCATGATTTTTAATTGAAAGCATTTAATATAAAATTGCAGTCAGTATTTGCTTACATGAAATAGGCTTAAACTGGTTTATTTTTGCGTATAGAACGTTATATGTCAGTGTAACAAAAATGAAAAGAATGTTACCCAAAATGTCCTCATTTGTTCCTCATTTTATGGTTATTAAATAAGTTATGTATGACCTGTATCTACCTGTGTTTTCTTTTTTCTGTCCTTTGATGTGATTAGATTGTTGTTTTATTGTAGTGTAGTGTGAATTTCTATAAAATCTGATCAACTGTGTTACACAAGCATAACAAAAATCCACAATAATCCCACCTTGTACAACAGAACAGATTTATGTACAATCCAAACTTAAACATGTTCCAAAGGGATGAAAAGTTACTACTTTTCAGAGTATGCAACATTTAAGTAATAAAATCAAAATATATCAACATCCATATTAACCCTTTTCAGGACAAAGAGCACCTTTCTGGTGTTAAGTGTACATCTGTTTATCAAATTTCAAAATTTAAGTAAAAATAATAATTCTAACACTATTTCAACAACTGTTTACTTAAAAATATTTCAGATTTGATGGTTTGTTATCTTGAAACATTTATTTAGTAAAATTTGCAAAGAAAATTGAAAACATGTTAAAATTTCCATTTTTGCATAGCCCTGAAGTGTATCTCCTATAAAAAAAATGCACTTACAAATTTTTATTTTTTAGAATTTTTCCACTCATCTGAAAGCATAAGTTTATATTTTCTAAGAAAGTATCATCCCTCGAGAATATAATTATCAATGTTTTGTTACTCATGGTTTTTCTTCTCTTTCTCTAAATTTTATTTGTAAATGCTCTTGGTTCCCACCCTTTTGTGACCTTGTAGCAAGTGATTGAACAACTGCTAATGAAACTAAGCTTTCAATATAGCTCCAGGAAAAGTTTAAATACTACTGGATACAGATTATAAACTATTTACATCATTGTAAAGTGAATAAAGTGGATGGAATGTAGTGAGAAATTTAGAAGACTTGAGAACAAGCCACAGATCTTTTTATTCCTTAAAATGTTTTAGTGGTAAATTATATTTATTTGAAAACTACAGGTAAACATTATTAGGTTTAGAGAACATGAGAGACAATGGCAAGATATTCTGGTGACTTGACTCATTATTTATTGAAAATTAATGTTAAGTTTAGTGTATTTAAACAACACAAATAAAATAATTTAATTTATTGGAAAGAAAGTATATTTGTTAGTATAAATTTATTTCGACCAAGAGTATTGTTAGCAAACATTTTATATGTAGTATCACTGATTGCAGTTTTGAAAGGTCAGGCTATAGGTCACCAATAAGTGTTTGTCAATTTCTGCAGTGTTTTTCATATTTTATATCCAAAAGTGGTGACTATTGCAATTTTTAAAATAGATACGTTAATGAATATCATTCCGGTTTAAATTGACTGAATATATAAGATGTAACTTGCTGATCAACATAAAAACAAGGGGGAATCTTCAATAGCTGCGGCACTTGAATTCTTTTAGGTAGGATTAGAATACATTAATCTATAAGACTTTTTTTTTCCTTTTTATTAGCTACTAGCAGGATTGCCCGGGTTTTTGAAAAAAATAACTAACTCTCTCTGTTTCCCTATTCCATATTTCAATAGGTAAAAAAATATTTTGTGAAGTTATGAAAAAAAAAAAAATCTGAGGTTTGATTTTTGAAATTAAACTATGAACCTGTTTTAAATCAGGGATTCCTTATGAACGATGTTTTTTCTTCACTGACAAGGATAAATAGGCCCTTATGGGGAATATTTAGATTATCTTGTATGAGTACCCGTTCTGACGAACAGGATAAGCCTAGCTCTATTCCCCCCATCCCCCCTTCTCAAATATCAAAATTTTCAAACATGAATATGCATGTAATATCGTGTTCAATTTGCTTTAATGTAAATTTAATATATTTTTATGCATGTGATACCGTATTCACTTTGATGTATGAAATATACTACAAACAAAATGCAATATTGTACTTAATAATGTACCAAAAATTCACTTCCAGGTATGAAACCACTTGGAGAAAATAAAGTAGAATAAAATACATACACTGACTTAACTTTAATCTAATTTTACACACTAAGTATTGTAATGTAAGCCTTACTCTTTTCATGTATCTATTTTATGACAGATGGCATAATTTTGTTTTATAGGCTAGGCCTACTGTTTGCTTTTTCACACACAACATTCTAATTCTGCATACATTTCCTTTGTGTGTGAGGTTAAATATATGATGTATTAGTTAATGATTTATAACTAAATAAGCCTATCTATTGTAATGTTAATATAAAAAAAAATTACCAAGTTCAACCCATCTTCCACCTCATGCAAGCATTCTACCGGTCATGCTGACTTGACTTTAATGTCATTGTATGCAATAAGTATTATAATTTAAGCCTTACTCTTTTCACATATTCTATTTTATGGCAGATGGCATAATTTTATTTTATAGGCTAGGCCTACTGTTTGCTTTTTCACATACAACATTATAATTCTGCATACATTTGTTTTGTGTGTGAGGTTAAATATATGATGTATTAGTAGATGTATAGTTAATGATCTATAATTAAATAGGCATATAATGCTATATTCTAAATTAAATGTTAACTCAAACTTACCAAAAAATGTTAAGTTTGCATAAAATTTATTCATGTATTGTGTATATGTTAATGATAAAATTACTGGTTCAGTAGCAGATGATAGATGCGTATATCAATGAAAAGTTGTCGTTTTGCACACCATCACGTGAGGGAAGTGTGACATGTGCAGTGAACGTTGCAAACAAACAGAGAGATTTTGAGTTTTATATATAGATATTTTTGTGTCACAGCAATACCAAGCGTGGGGGTGTGCGTATACCTGATTTGGTTTTATTACTCATCAGGATCTTTATCAACCTACCCTCAAATTGAAATTCTTCTAGGCAGGATTAGAGTAAATTGATCAGTCAAAAGGGTTTGACCTCCTGAGTTCAAAACTGTAATTATATCTCAAATCGGTCAAGAGATGACGGAGCTAT